GCCCAGAAAGTCCATTTGGGAATTTCAAATCCTTACTTCATGTTTCCTACAGCCAGCATGCCCTTGAAACATTTAGAAATAATAGTATACGTTCATCCTTACTCTCTTCTCAGTCTCATAACCAGAGGCGTTAGAAATTGCTTCTTCAGTCAGAGGTGTCCAATAGGAAGCACTGAATGGCCATTAATTGTCTTCCCAGCCCCATTTGCAAAAGGCGCAGAAAAAACATATGACCTACACACCTCTATCTACACACACTAACAAGCAAAGCATAGAACTTATAGAACAATATTTTTCTTTCTTATAGATAGCAGGTGGTATCTTTTCAGAGAGGCTGGAAATTTCCAAAGGTAAGATTTGTACTAAGTGAACTTAAATTCCATTTTTACGTAATTCAGAACTATGTGATAGAAACTGTGCAAGACATTGCAAAAGTGTTATTTTGAATTTTTATAACAACACTTCAAGATAGATAACACCATCCTCATTCTTGCTGATGGGCAGACAGAGGCTCCAAGGGGTAAGTCATATAGTATTTGAAACCAGGAGGACCTCACTCTTCTTTTGACAATTGCCACTTTGAGTTGTTTTTCATCAAAACTCCAGACTACCTAAATCCTCAGAAATTCTTCCTTTAATGGAAAGTATATTATTCTAGGAGTCAGGTATCATGTTCAGGAATAAAAACCAGTAGAACCCCCAGAGACAGGCACATAAATGTTATAGGAACCTAAAACGTATACTTGATTGTTCTTTAAAAACAAACTCTTTCACAACAAGGAAAAGCAGTATTATAGGGAAATATCTCTCTCAATTATTTTTGTTAGACTTCACGGGGAGGGAAGGGACATGGGGGAATGAGGAGGTTCTCATAGTTAGGGCAAGTGACTTGTTTTCTATTTGATAGGCAAACTAACCTAAACATACACCAGGGGGAAAAAAGACTACAGCCAACAGGGTGATTCAGGGGAAATGACTGAACTTGGAGTCAGAAAAGTTGGCTGCACTGCTCTCTCCATTTCTTGAAAGCTGTGCAACCTTGAACAGATAACCCGACAGCATCTAATTTGTCAGTAAAATAAGGATAATAAAATCTTCCTTTCTTAGTTTATTGGTTTGTGAGAAGATTCAAATGAAATTATAAATTTCCAAAATATATATATTATGTATATATACACAACTTTGAAAGCAATAAAGCGTTATCCAAATGTAAGATACCATTTTTATTACAAAGAATGAAGTCATTGGAAGCAGACTAGAGAAAATGATGCAATTTAATCCATTGCTCTGTAGTCTTGCCAGATACCAGGTATTTGAAGTATGGGAGATAGCAAGGGTTTACACGAAATAGGAGATCATCATTTACTAAACAAATGAGCCAGGCTCCAAATAGGTGTACTTGTAGTTAAAATATTTATGTTGCCAGTATTTTAATAGCAGTGTTTCGCAAAGCATTACAGTGGAATTACCTGGGGTGCTTATTAAAAGATGCACACCCCAAGGCACTGGCAGTCTCTCCAAAGGGGGGAACCCAAGTCTGCTCCCTTTACAAACTGCCCAAGTGATTCTGAAGGACACCAAAACTTAAGATTGAGTACAATATGGAACATTCTTCAAGATAAATCAATGTAAGTTACAAGGTTTTTACTCGAAGAAGACTTTCATTTAATACAACTGTTTTGGTGTATAAGGCATTTCTCCTTTTTTGTGAGGACAAGCTTAGATTTCCCGCCCCTCAAGAGCCACTGAGTGCCACAAAATGGGACCATCTATGGTTGGGGCATAATCTCATCTCTGAGGACCTGGGTACATAAGGGCAATAGCCTCATCATTATTTCCTTTGCTTCCACTGACTTCTTTTTCTTGACTAGACCATAGTCATGATAAATGCAGTGATACAAATGATAACATTTGGTGTTTGGTCTAAGAAGAAAATAAATTCTGCATTTTCTTTCTGGGGTGGGCAACTTGAAATTGACAAGGATATAATTATACATAGCAGTACGAAGCTGCAGCAAGTGCTCCCAGTTGGAGAAGAAAATATATATTTACTTTCAAAGTAGAAAATGATGCTACAGCAATTTCTTTGCTTACTCAGCCAACATTCATAAGACACCTACAATTTGCCCAGCACTGAAAAAGGAACTAGGAATGTAAACATGAACAAAATGCTATGGAATAGAGGTAAATAAATAATAATGACTCCCCCGAAGGATGGTTGAGAAAGGGGAGGTTTTAATAAAATAGAAGATATTGTTTTTCAGTTTGGAAATAGTCAAGTCTCTGTTATTGGTATCCCTGCTGTCTTCAAGAAGAAAAGTGAACTGCTCTTCTCTGAATGTCCCATTTGGAAAGCAGAGGTCGGAGACCCCCCATCACCGGAAGGCCTGCACTCTGGCCTGACAAACCCTGCATGCATCGATTGTGCCCATGGGACGTCTTGTTGGGTAGATGCTGAAGTGATTGTAGAAGGGTTCCTGAAGCAGTTCATTTCTCAAGTGGGACAAATGGATTGTAAACATCCCAAGCCTTTCCCCCTTTAGCTGCTTATAGAGAAAGAGAAGTCTTTCATCATAAGAAGTTGAGTTCAAGGGGCTGACCATCTGGCACTCCGTGAACATGAGGCAGAAGTTCTTTCTCCAGGTACTGTAATTCCAGCTAAACCTTCACAACAGACTGTGGGAAATGGGACAGGAAGTCTAGAAAGGCTGGGATGGGAGAACCAGACAAGGTGTTTTTCTGGCTTTCTCCTTCCTGCTCCATACGGTCTTCCCAGCGCCCTCCCACCCGCGGTGGGCCACCTCTTGCATAGCGTTCTCATTGGGTTCAACATCTTAAGAGGGGTCGCCATGCCCTACAGGATCTCGTCCACCTGCCGCTGCCCTATCTCATCCTTCTACCTCCCATCTCCCCTCTCCCTCACCACCGCAGTGCCCTGGTTTCAGACACACAGAATTCCTTACCACTCCTTATCCTCTAGAATTTTCCCCTCGATCATAGTTTAAGACCCAGAGGGAAAGCTTCCTGGCCTGCTGATCCTCCCCCAACTCCCCAAAGCTCCTGAGCAGAAGAATTAGATGCTTCCTCTTGGGTGTTCCCACAGCTCTTCTACCACAAGCAAGCCATTTCCCATGTTGCATTATTATAAATGTTTGTTTTCGTGGGCATATTATAAGTCTTGTAAACAGAAGGATTCTCATTTTTTTCCTTTTCATATTCCCAACGTTTAGCACAGTTCCAGGGCACACAGTAAGCCCCAATAAGTGTTTGCTGGGTGAGTGACTGACTGAATTAATAGGGTCACGCTACTCCCATCCCCCACCCCAAAGCATACTTAGAGTATTTGTTCCTGATCCTCCTGCTTTAACACACATCCCTGCCAATACGACAGCACAATTAGCCTGTGAGAGAAAAGGAGCAATCTGAGAATGATTTCCGAATGAAATGTAGTATCTCTCTAGCGTCCATCTCTTGGTGACTCTGTGGGCATAGCCTTCCAAGGTTTTTGTTTATTAGACAGTCTAATAAAGCAACAAAGCGCTCAGGCTTTCTGATATCCCCACCCTCCCATTCTAAGAAGAAATAACTTCCTGACTACAAGGTCATCTCCATTCATACTTGTATAGCCTTTTCTTTCTCTTTTTCATTTACTCATTTCACAAATATTTATTGAACACTTATTACATACCAGTTAGTGTTCTAGTATCTGGGGATATAGTAGTGAACAATAATCCCTCATTGACCTTTTTATTCTACTGGTGGAAAGAGACTTATTAATACATAAGATAAATGAGTAAAATATATAATATGCATGGTCATGATAAGTCCTAAGGAGAAAAACATAAAAGAGGGAAGGGAAACAAAGTTTTAGGGGAGTTAAAATTTTAGATAGAGTAGTCAAAGGAGGCCTTCCTGACATTTGAGTAAAATTCTGAAGGAAGCAAAGAAGCAAGACATGAAGATACCCAGGAGAAGAGCATTCTAGGCAGAGGGAGCCACAGGGCAAAAGTCCTGAGGTGGGAGTGTGCCTGTTCAAGAATTAGCCAAGAGCCACTGTGGCAAGATTAGAGTAAGCCAAGGAAAGCATATGGGAGAGAAAGTCAGGAAGGTAAAGGTGGTCAAAGGAGGCCATGGAACTGAGAACCCAGGTGTGGGAAGGACCCAGTGTGTGCATGTTGAAATCAGTAAGAGTCATGCCAGGAATATTAGGTAAAGTGACTGTGAGCCAGCAGCTAAAGTGGTGAAAAAATCAGGGGAGGGAGTGAACTGAGGGTCAGAAGGTGACAGCTGCACTGAGAGTGGTGAGTGCTTTATTCTGTTGGCATTAGATTCAAATGTGGGTGATTTCAGGGAGGAGGCAGGGAGAAGAGTTTGGAAGTGGCGCTGAGGAGACAGGAGGACATCTGCTCCTCTCCCAGGCCCGGAGACAGGAGGGGTGTGAGAGAGAAAGTAGGCACCAGTGGACCCCGCAGGGAGGCAGAATCCTCAGGGTTTCCAATGAGGATGAAAATGAACGGAAAGCTCACAGATGTGATGGATCTCGCTCATGACTGACTTTGAATATCAGAGGTTCCAGAGAGGATTTGGGGGTTTAGAGAGAGTGGGAAATGGAGGCAGGAAAGGTAACTTTCCTTACTTCCTCTAGTCATTCTCTCCCTGTTTTCAGTTTTATTTTCATCTTTTCTAATTTATTTTCCTATTTTTTTATTAGTGGTAATTTTCTCCTTCACTTTCCTTCCTGTATTATCATTCTTTATGTCTCTGAGTCTTCCTTCTATATTATCTTTTAAACTTTCCTTTAGATATTGGTCATCTTTTTTCTCAAGCTTTTCTCTTTTTTCTTCTTGATTTTCAATCCTTCTCTCTAGGAATGATCCATGCAGTTGTTTGCTCTAAGGATGCTTTGAAAGCCTCTGAAATTACTCCAGGGAATATGCTGCCGGTTGAGAATTGTTCAGCAGTCTTACATCCTCGGCACATAAAAATGATCCTTTCCTCACCTGGACTTTGACAGGTTCCATCCAGTGCTCCAGAGTGTCAGCAGTGACGTTCTCAGGAAGGATTACGGGATCGCTAGGGGGGATTATACACGATGGGGAACACACTGCACCTGAAGGAACAGAAATTTACAAAAGAGACTTGAACTTCCCACATCTCAGTCTTTTACATCTTGGAATCATTAGCTTTGATTTTTCTTTCTTTTTTTTATTGTTTTTTTTTTCTTTTCTGCTCACGTCTTTTTAAAATAAATAAATAAATAAATAAATTTGTTTATGTATTTGGCTGTGCTGGGTCTTCGTTGCTCCACACGGGCTTTCTCTAGTTGCGGCGAGCGGGGGCTACTCTTCATTGTGGTGCTCAGGCTTCTCATTGCGGTGGTTTCTCTTGCTGTGGAGCACGGGCTCTAGGCGCGTGGGCTTCAGCAGTTGTGGCTCGTGGGCTCTAGAGCGCAGGCTCAGTAGTGGCGCACGGGCTTTGCTGCTCCGCGGCATGTGGGATCTTCCCAGACCAGGGCTCGAACCCATGTCCCCTGCATTGGCAGGCGGATTCTTAACCACTGTGCCACCAGGGAAGTACAAAAACAATTGCTTTCTACGTTGTAGGTCACCTCATTAACATGGTCATAGGCAGGGTCGATACTCATCTACTGTGTACCTGTAGGGATATTCCTACACTAACTAGTAAAGAGCCACTTCTGCAAGTTAACTCCCTTGGCCCAAGTGCCCTTTCTCCTTCTAGTCCAATATACCCCCTCCTCTGGAATCCCTGAATCTCTGTATGACTTAGCAATAAAAGATTTAATTCCTGGTCTCAAAGACCTCCAATACCCCACTCCAGGACTCTGGCCAGCCAAAGTCTACCCGGATTTGTTGATGCCTTTTAAGTACTTTTAATACCATTTCTGCTCATATAATTTCCTGGAAGCTTATGACTGCGACATCTACTACCTAAGAACTTTACTAGTTGGGGAAGAAATGGCCCAGAAATCATGAAGGTGGATTTATAATGCCCGCTAGACTGAAGATCATTACACAGGCAGCCAAGAAACCTATGTGATTAAAAGAGGAAACAAGGGGAAATCAGAAGCAGAGATTTTGGTCATGTGTTGGCCTTTTAAAGAAAAATCTTGCTTTATTTCTTTGTATGTGGTGTCTTAAGTGTCTTCTAAAATTCTATTCAAAGAAGGCAGACTCTCAGGGTTCTCTATTTCCTCATCTAAAGATTTTGATGATCTCCAAGTTTCTTTTCAGCTCACACTTACCTCTATTAATGTTTTTTGCTGACTTGTATAATAACTCAAAGAGTTACATGACTCTTAAGGACTCTATATACGTGTGTGTGTGACATATTAATGTAAAAATTAGAGGGTGGGGAGATAAGAATTTTCTCATGAGACACCACACAAGAGGCATGGTCTCAGCATTCCGCTACTCCTTGCCTGACCTTAAGACTTCTCAGTGCAAAGAGCAACTTGAAGATGGTAAAGAACATTCTCAGAAACTAACAAGCTTTCTCATTAACTCAAATGATACCTACTGGCATTACAAACGTTAGAATGACTTGGAAAATTACTCCTTGCTTGTACAATTCAAAACGTCGGGTTAATCTCACAAAGTTTTCCACAAACAGCATCCCTCTTCTATGATGCTTAAGTCCAGCCAGAGCAAATTTAAGTCAACTTGACTTTCAATCGACCCTGGCCACAGAGACTTTTAATTTCAATGACTGCTTTAAGAAGTTACCCCTAGGTTCTGGAGCCTAATCCCCTGTACAGAAGGAAAGGCTGCTGAGCCAGGCAAGCTAGGCAATTTCAAATTGTTCCTTTCAGGAACTCTCTGCTCCAGTAACGACAGCAGAGAGAATGGAGGAGGAGCCCAGCACATGCGTGGTGTGCGTCTACACGTTTCCACCTTTCCTCTCAGAACTACTACTCCTGCCACAAATCAATCCACTTTTCAGCCTGCTGCGAAATGGGTAACGTGACCAGACACTATGCAAATGGTTCAGCAGCGGCAACAATATTACACATGAGTGGAGGAATAAAAAAAACATAAATTTGTCATAAATTTCATTTTTACTGAAGCAGCTAAGAGTCAACTTGAATTTCTATCCACTCCTCGGGGAGAACAATGGATCTGATTCAAGATCCAGCCAGTCCTAGTTAAGGATTACTTGGGAGCAGAAGTCAGCATCCCTTCCCAAACATACCAATCCTGTATCCCTGTTCACACTTGTACTCCACGAAATTCAGCTCCGAGGTGGGTGGTGGGCATTCCCCTTGCAGGTTCTCACATAACTTGAACTCCTCGGTCCACAGTCCCTCCTTCGTGCAGAGGATGGGAAGCTAGAATATCAAAAGTCAAACACATGTACCTTATTGTTTTGCTAACTTCTTTTAGAGTGGGGGAAAAGGTGGTCTGATTAAATGGTAGTGTTCTCCAACTTCTAGAACCTGGACTAAAAGACAATATTGAGATAATAAACCATGTTGTTTCTGACCACCGCCTCCCCCGCCGCAAACAAAAAGTCAAGACAAGTTTTTGCTGTTTTGATGTGAAGGAATCATGAACAATTTTGTCATTAATAAAATTCATTAACAATGTGTTTTCCTTTGGATGTAAGGATACGGTGAGCTATCAACAGTAGCCCACGTATTCTGAGATAGTTTTTGGAATTTTTTTCCCCGATGGTGTTGTTTTGCATTGATCCATTCATACTATCCCACAGATGCTGCTTGTGGCAAATGTCAGATTTTTTTCAATATGAGTTTGAGCCCGTAAAACTAATTCATAATTTTTCTGGAGGTGCTTTTTGCCTTTCTGCTTGAATGGAAACATCATAGATGCTTTTGATCTCACCAAAGTTCTAGTCCCTTTCTCCACATGTATGCTGGTTTGTGTAACTCTTGGCTTCGCATCCCCAGCAATCACAAAGTATACTATAGGCAGAACACAGAGAGTAGCACTAACTCACAAACCCCAAGAAAGTAAGATTTTAGAATTACAATAACTCTCCCTTCATCTGGCCAACTCCTTGACTCCTTAAACAATCAGTGCAAACAGATGTGTTGATTTCTAAGGGGTCTCATTTCATGGAGTATTCTTTTCAAATCTGTCCTGCAGTGTTTACCTTGGAGTACTGGACACTGAGATAAAGGCATGTTCCAGGAGATCAGTCAAGGTCATTGATCTTTGCCTAGGAAGTCTGCTTAACTTCCTGTCTCGTGTATGTGTGTGGTACTTGAAAAGATTCTAAAATAAAATTGATTTTAGTCACATAACCGTGATAAGACTGTGGTTGTTGCTTGAGACCTCTCACGCCAAAATCCTAGGGAGAATAATAGTCAAACAGCGCATTCGGCTTTGCCTCTGCTGAGGAATTCGTGTTTCTGTTCAGGACTCTGTTCTGTTAAAAAGTGTAATACCAGCATTTCTAGCCAAGTTAGATCAGAGGAAATCACATTGCCAAATCAGAATCCCAGCATTTTTGCAATTTACCCAGGTACCCAACCCATCAGGTTGTTCTTCTTATCCAAGAGGAAGTTCTGAAGTCAGGAGAGAATATTCCAAAAACGTGGCCTCTTCTGAATTCCCTATCAAATAATATCAACACCCCTGGTTAGAATCCCAGCTTGGTAAGGCCCTGCCTGTTGCAATTCATTTAGATCATTTCTATGGAACATTCTTGGATTGGTCACCAAGACTAGAGCACAACCTGATCCAAAATAAAGTTCAAGTCATCCTTACCCTTTTACTTTCCTCGTTACAGTTGAGCACACACTGGCTGTTGAGCTCAAAGCCGTTGGTGCATTCATACATGCCTTCAAAGACAGGAGATGGGGGCTCACACACCACTGGGACGCAGCTGCCTTGCTCCCAGATTCCATCTTCCAGGCACTGGATCTTCAGGAACTTGCTGATAAGACATAAAGCAAAATAGCCCATCAAAATCCCTCAAGGAGGTTATGGGGAAGACTGGACCCTCAGTAACATGGGCTAAGAATTAGCAAATAGACAGGGGCAGTTGGGTCTCGTTAGCCAAATGTCATACCTCTCTAGTCTAATTTCTAAGTCATGGAAGTAAAAATAGTAATGTGCACGTAATAGCAGAGATCACATTAGCTGTTATATAGTAATATTTTGTAGATTACTCTCCAGAGAGTTTTTCTAACTATCAGAGCAGCATCTAGACTTTTTCAGTTGGGTTTTCATTAAGCTCTTCATCTTGGAGCAGTCTCACACCCAAGTGCACTTGGAAAATACCTGGTAGGATGGAGTACAGAAATGATTATCACACACTCAGGGGACTAAACGGAAGTCATTTGAGGATCATCAGTGTTAATATGGTAATGTAATCAATGAAGCTGCCAATATTTATTGGTTCTCCAAAGAGGGGAGAAGATACAGCAGTAGGGGTCTTCTTAAAACAGAGGCTCTTACCCTGAACTTCAGAAGAGCAAGAGCCTCACTGGAAATTACTATGGCCATTTTGTTTGCTTACAAGTCCATTTTTTTCTTGGAAAGCATTCATAGCTTTCGTGAGATTCTCTGAGTAGACACGGCTCCACAATGTCCTGGAAGAACTGCCCTTCCTTCGCATGCACAGATGTGGCCTCCAACCAAAGAGACTGCATTTGTGGTGGACAGTAGTCAACAGAATTAGGTTTTGCTGCTGCAAACTCCATCCCGTTCCCCTTCTAACTCACTGCCAAACTGAAGGTGCTGTCCATTTTGCTGTTTTAATGCATCCACTTCTGATTCAGAACATAAGATAAGCTTGTGATTCTAAAATAGAAATAATCCTTTGACCCCTGATTCAACCACACGGTGGCCTTAAATTTTTATTTTCCAGTATCACGATGTTCTTTTTAAATTTAAATATGCCCACCATCTACACACGTTTAATGGACTATCATACTTTTATGCAATGACCCCTGCATGCTTCTCCAGTATTTTAATATTATACTAGTACAACATTTATCACATTATTTTATACATGTGTACATGTCTGCCTTTCCCACTAGGTTGGAAGCTGACTGAAGGCAAGGATTGTGTTTTATTCTTGCTTTTAATTCCCAAGAACTAAAAAAAAAAAATCTGTCTTATATTAGGCATTAATCAAATATTTGCCAAATTGAATTATTTAACCAAAATTCACAGTGTGTTAGGCACACTGCATAGCACATTATATATTTTAACAAAGTGAACCATCAGAGTATCCCTAATGAAGTAGTATTATCATTCCCATTTTATAGATAAACATACTCAGAGACGTTAAATAATTTGACCAAGATCCTACAACACAGAATGCAGCTGATTTCAAAAAATTTAAATAAGTTTTAATAGTTTAACATATTTTAACAATATCCACTTAGATATTCGTGAAGGAGTGTTTAACTTATTATTAAATAGTTATTTAGATTCATACCTTTATTCCCAGTATTATTTTAGGATAGAAATCTGATTTTATGACTGGAATTCTTTAGCATCATAGTTTATGTGGACATATATCTACTATCTGTTAATAATAAACACTATTTTTGAGCTGTATTTCAGGTGTTTGGAAAGACACCTACATACATTATTTCACTGAATCCCCCAAACAGCATATAAAGGTAAATATTATTATCCACATTTCAGAGAAGGAAACTGAGCCTGAGAGATTTAAAGCTAGCTCAAAGATCCACAGTAAAAGCTGCAGAGAGGACTTGGACCCAGGTCATCCTGCTGTTGAAGCCTGTGGCCCTTCCTGGGTCAGGTTCAGCTGCACCTCTTATGCTATACAATCCACTTTGAATATCAGTAATGTCTCTATCCTACTGAACAGCCCTTTAACCGGATGCCACATTTATAAGTGTGACCAAAAAAGGAAGATTCATTTTTGCAGAGTACTAAATTATGTATAGAAAATTGCACAACTCAGTATATAGCTCAAGAAATTTTTACATGTGAATACACCTGGGTGATCACCACTCAGATCAAGGTACAGAGAATTTCCAGCCCCCCTAGAAATCCCTCTTCCCAGTTGAACCTTCCCACACCCCTGCAACCCACACTCTTCAGACTTGCATCAGCTTAGATTCATTTTGCCTGTTCTTAAACTTTATATAAATAAAATCACACACTGTGTACTCTTTAGTATAAGGCTTCTTTCCCTAAAGGAAGATGACATTTTATTTATTTATTTATTTTTACATCTTTACTGGAGTATAATTGTTTTACAACGTTGTGTTAGTTTCTGCTGTATAACAAAGTGAATCAGCTATACGCATACATATATCCCCATATCCCCTCCCTCTTGCATCTCCCTCCCACCCTCCCTATCCCACCCCTCTAGGAGGTCACAAAGCACCGAGCTGATCTCCCTGTGCGATGCAGCTGCTTCCCACTAGCTATCTATTTTACATTTGGTAGTGTATATATGTCAATGCCACTCTCTCACTTCGTCCCAGCTTACCCTTCCCCCTCCCCGTGTCCTCAAGTCCATTCTCTGCGTCTGTGCCTTTATTCCTGGAAGATGACATTTAAAAATGTCTTCTCTAATCGATTTTCAAGGAAGCATATGCAGTTCTTTTTACTATAACGAAGCTCATTTTTGTCCCTCTCCTAGGCTGGATAGTCTACTCTTTTTTCACACTACAGAGTTTATATTCTCCCAGGGACTCTCTCCTTTCTATCACCTCCCACAGATGAAATCCTTCCCCTACCTCTGCTGAACTGCCATTCCCCAGCTGGAGAGAGCAGGCAATACCACTGACACCAGGGGAGAGGCAAGGCTGCAAACCTTGCATGTCAGCGTGGTCATAAAGGAAAACCCTTGCTTGGCCAGGACAACAATATTTTGACTTCATGTGGTATTTTTCTCTGAATTGGTTGGAACACTTCAGCCATGGAAACAGTCCTCCCTTTTCTTGCCCAGAGTGGAGAGCCATTCAAGAATGCCGATTTCTTATATTTCCTTGCCAGTTTAATAACCTCAGGGATGAGGGTAGAGAGATCAAACTTGGCTGGGGAAGAGTGAGTTGGCCGTTGCGGGTGGTACCCAGGTAATGTGACAGGCCCTGCACTGCAAATCACCAGTCATATCGGTGATAAGGAAGGGAGAAGGCTGTAAGGTGGCAAGGGAAGCAACACAGTTCACATGGGTGCCCCTGGACCCCAGAGGAGGCACTCCAGGAAGGAGTGGGGAGAGGCTGGGAGACAGGGCTGATTCCCTAGGAAATCCTGTTTCCTTCCTGCAGGGGTTCCTATGCCCCCTCAACCTCACAGATTCTCCTTGCAGTTTCATCTCCCTTATACAGGGGCTGTCTTCTGCATGTCAATCAATCAGATGACACAATTCAGGCCCAACCCTCAGACTTCTCGCAAAGCATTTGATTGGTCAGTGTCACTGGCTCCATGTCAATGACTGTCTATACCCACTTAGGAAATGACTCTTGACGTCCCATGGTATGGAGCTTGGCACTTGAGTGCCATGGGCTGGTTCTGGCCTTTGTTCAAAAAGGGACTGAGATTGTGGTAGGAATTCAAGGTGTCCTGTATTCCTCCCAGCTCCAGGAAATTTGGTTTCCACGTCGGGCCCCTGAAGGGGACTGAAGCCTATAGCAATGGCAGAACTTTAACCCCCAGTGGTACCAAAACTGCCTCTGCGTTTCTTCTAGTTTGCTGATCTTGAGGAGTAACCTCTGACCCTGATAAAATCATTAATGAAAACATTGCTTTATTCAGAATGGTCCAACTCCTTCTCATAAAGTATATGAGTCAAAAGCTAAGAGACACTTTTTAAGTCATGAAGTGAATAGGTTTGCATTTCAAAGAATGATGGCATTGGATATTAGACAAAGCACACAGGCAGGCCCTCACCAGGGCAGAGATTCCAAGACTTTTCTGATCGTCCAGTGCAAGTGCCTTTCACTTGAAATATTCTATTTACGGACTATCAGCTCCCTGTATTTTCTTTATCCCAGGGGAGTAAGAGAGGCTAAAATATCTCATTTTACAGGCAGGAAACTGCACATTAATAACTATGAGGTGAGTTGCTCAGTGTCACAGAGCAAGCAAGTCAAAGGCAAAAGCAAGAATAGAACTCAGAGTTTTGAAATCATAACATAACACCCCAACATGGTGTTGGAAACACCAACAATGGTTTCCAAATGACATCTGTAGACCAGCCCCATCAAAATCATGTAGGAACGAACTGTATAAAAAACTAGATTGCATACATCTCCTGGAACTGCCCTCACATTCTATACTTTTAAATTTGTCAACAGTCTTAAAATGTAGCCAGGTTGCCAAACTACTAAAATCTACGCTACTTTCCTATGCTAGTAAAAATAAACCATAGGTGTAGAAATCAGAGAGCAAAATCACCCACCTAACAACACCGGCCAAAAGGCTGGATGCTTAGCAAAGACCAAACACGACAGTTACAGCCAGACAACTTGCTCTGTAAGTGGTACCATGAGGGTTTGGGGGTAGGGGAAGGTTTGTATTTATTTTCCCTCTACTCCAGAGAAATCACCACAATTTCCAAGTTAGAAGATGCTTTTTCCAATTTCCAGAACTTGTGGTATCCACCTAGTGCCGAAAATCCAGCTGTGCTCTTTCTGCTTCTTACATCATTGCCAGAAATAAAGATCTTGTAATCAAAACTTGGCTGAAAGTTTGATTGATGTTGCTTGAGGCACACATGAGTCTACCCCGTCCTTCTATCACCACTGCAGGGTTTTCAAAAGTAATATTTATTTTCCATTGGAGAAAATAAAAGTATGATTGTTGAGTCCAAGGGAATTATCATGTCTTTACTGATCAAGGGCATCTGGTGTCTCCAATGAGTCGTCCCTCATGAGTAATAATAATGATAACAGAAAAACAATAAAATATTGAGCACTGAAATGCTAGGCATTGTACAGAAGG